AGAGAGAGAGAGAGAGAGAGAGAGAGAGAGAGAAGCTGACGATGTAATAAGGTTGGGCAATAACCCAATCACCCCGACTGATGTTCCCGCGGATGCTCACAATTGAAGCCTTTCCCTGTGGCTGTCGTGCGTGACATAAAGCCATAACCTGTGCGTGTGTGTGTTTGGTTTATTTATAGCCGAGGAAAAATCAATGGCTCGGCGTGTTGCTCCGTGGTATAACACTGACTCTCACTGCTTATTCCACAAGTTCGTGTCTGTACTGTAGTAACGCTAGTGCACGGCTACGACCGAGTTACAGATCAAATCAGGAGTATATCAATAGATAGATATATCGATAGACTCCTGATCAAATGACAAGAAAATATATGCCAGTGTGAAGCTAAAGATGGGACCTTGTCACAGAAGTTTTGAGAGGGGAAGTCCCGGTAAGAGGATACTGGTAAACGGACGAGTCTGTACAACAGAAAACACTGCAACACATAGAACAACAGTGAAGTTGGTAGGGTACACTACCGTAAGACAGAACAGAGGAATGTTGAGAGAGGTGTTTGTACCACGGGAAAACTAGCGCAGGGCAAAGGCAATGAGACAAGAATCAATGAGTGGTCTGTGCTATAAACACACAGGGGGTATAGCAAGTGCGCCTATACACTGTAAACACCACCGTAAAGCAAACAACGTAGGAGCGGTCGAGGCCCAAATCACAGCTAGATCGACGTGTGGTAGAGAACGTAGGACTGAGCTGCTGGAAGGTGTCTGTCCTATATAAAGATGTAAATATAAAGGGAGGTATGAGACCGCACTGGTGGCAGGAGTCTACATTGAGACTCGTGTAAATGGAGGTGGTGGCAGAGGTGGTTGAGGTGGTGGTGGGGCAGGAGGTGGTGGAGGTGGTGGGGGAGGTGGTGGCAGAGGTGGTAGGGTAGATGGTGGGGGGCAGGAGGTGGGGCAGGAGGTGGTGGTGGGGGAGGTCGTCAGGGGGAGACATGGAGTCACCTACCTTCTTCAGCCTGCCGTCTGCGGTGCCGAGGAAGGCGACTGTGATGTCGTGCACCTGTCCAGCGATGACGGCCGTCAGGTGACTGTTGCTGTACTCCAGCAGCGGACTGCCCTCTATCGGGATCTGTCCCGCCAGGTGTATGTTAATGTCCTCACGCCCGCAGTAGTTGTCGTTGATCGGAATCCCGCTCTGCAATAACACAGCCAGTCGCGTGATAGAGAGAGACAGAGAGATACAAGGGTGCGAGCATCACGATGTACAGTAGCTTTACTGGTGTAGCCCCTTCACTCCCACTACAGGGCTCCTGCGACAGAGAGAACTGTAGAGGGAGTGAAGGGGCTACACCAGTAGAGCCAGACAGACGTACAGGGCAGGTGTCTGTCTATCTTATGGATACTTGATCGTCATATATATGGAGAAACCTTGGACTAGACTTTAAGTCGGCGAAGTTATGTTGTTTGAGTTATTTTTTTAAACCTATTTTCGACTAGCTATGGCAAACTTAAAGGAATATTGAGATATCAGGAGCGAATAAAAACACATTCGTTTTTTTTATTCGCTCCTGAAGATATACGCCGCTCATATTTTGCCTGATATCGTGTCACAAATTTTCCCAGTGACAAGCGCACGCAGCCGAACCTTCTACACGCGGATCAATGTCACGACATTGCAGTACAGAGTGAAACGCACACCGACCGATCCACAGGCACTAAAGAAAATTAATGGTAAATAAACACGAAATGTACCAAAGTCTTAATGTTTCTCTACTCTATTTCGCATATAATCACTTGTAAATGCCGGTCAAATGCTCATCTGCAACACACAAGTACACCGCACGCACGCCCTGTGCTGCGTGCACAATCAACATGAATAAGAGAGCTTATATGCGAAATAGAGTAGAGAAACATTAAGACTTTGGTACATTTCGTGTTTATTTACCATTAATTTTTTTTATTGAGACGTTCCAAGTTCCTGTGGACTGATCCACTACAAACCAACCAGTGACATGCAAAACACGTATTACTAAGCGCTATCGAAGTAAAGAGTGGCGTACGTGCGCGCGGCGGCATCGTGCGATCATGCAAGCTCACATCATCGCACATGTACAGCCAGAAACCCCTTACGGAAACGAGTTGTAAACCCACCGCAGCTCTCGCTCCCGTCTGCATTCCCCACGCAGTAATGAGCGTCCCCTTTCTTTAGTCCGCCGCTCGCGAAAAGGGTTTTACTTTACAAGTTTGTAAAGAAGTAAACCAATTTCCATTTAGTTCGGCAGGAAATCAGTAAGGTTTTGTTCACGTGCGTGTTACTGCGCTGCCGCAGCCTTTTAGCATTTCAGATTCGAACAAAAATAACGGGAAAGTGTTATGGATCCAAGATGCAAAAGTAAGCAGGATCAAGGCTACAGTGAATTAGCAGGAAGCCATTAGCAACGAAAGCCCGTATCGTGTAGGCAATCAAAACCTGGTCAACGCTCCACGACACGACAATTCCGATAATTACTCAGGTACACGTATATATACAGTTATCACATCCACTCGTCCACGACACGTAATATTGCAATTTAAACCAACAGTCGTTGTTTTGTGTTTAATTTTAAATTTCACCCATTGAATTATGAAATTTGTTCACGTTTGTCAGCTTTCCAAAGGTAACTGTGCCAACACCATTAATCTGCAATGCACATGTAAACAGGAGTCTATCAATTGATAGACTCCTGACATGAAGCTAGGGGAGGGGCATGCTAATGTGGCTCCGTCCTACATGACCTTGACCTCAAATTCTAATTAAAGTAGTTTAATTTGATTAGGTGATGGGTGTACTGTGTCAGTGCGACATATACGTCAAAAAGTTAACACGAACATGCCACACACTCCTAACCTATGTTCACTTTTACGTTCATCGCACACGGAGCTACAGGAAGGAAGCCTGGTGGTGATGGGTATAGCATGCATGCATATATCGCTATACTTAGATCTCTAACAGCTGACACGAACACACACACACACACACGGATCATCGAGTGAACGGGGACATGCAGTGTTACAGTAATGGGATGCCTCCCATACTTAGAAGAACACCTAGTATCAGACACCTACCTGAGAACCACCGATGTTATTTGCGTACAGCTACAGTAAGGAATAAGAAACACATGGTGTTAGTACAAGTAATCAACGGTTGCTGTCCCAACGCTATCAGTAGTTCACTGATATCCTTTTTGCTAAACAGACAAAACCTGACCTAGACATGCGAACATCTGAAGATTAGTTCGTCAACAGACGGAGACAGCACTGGCTACTAATGTCAACAACGCGACGTGGACACAGAGAGATACAGACACCTACACCCACGCACGCACTCACACCCACGCACGCACCTACACCCACGCACGCACTCACACACACCAACGCACGCACTCACACCCCCCTACGCTCGCACGCACTCACACCTACGCACGCACTCACACCCACCTACGCTCGCACGCACTCACACCTACGCACGCACTCACACCCACGCACGCACTCACACCTACGCACGCACGCACTCACACCCACGCACGCACTCACACCCACGCACGCACTCACACCTACGCACGCACGCACTCACACCCACGCACGCAGGCACTCACACCAACGCACGCCCGCACTTACACACACCCACGCACTCACATGCACACAGACTCACATGCATGCACACTCACCCACGAATGCACGCATTAATGGACACTGGTGCTTCTAAATGACAATTTATATGCTCTAGTATAACTGCGTCATCACAACCAATTTCAATTATCTTAAAAGACACTCTCGGGCTTGGTGCCCACAATAGCCATATATTATTACTGCATATAGGTTCTTTGTCTACAATCCTTCAAACTTTAAATATTCTTTAGAGAATAAAACCGATCATTTCAATGATGTATTGCTACGCTTCTGCAGAATATCGCCTATAACATTACTACATATATATAATTTACAACGTGCAGGATTATACGCGAGTTCTGCACCGTCACAAATTTTAGACATTTTTCGTAAAACACGATCGAACTCCGTTTCCGTGAAAAACCGTTTCCACTGGGGAAAAACACATAAATAACCCCCCTCTGGTTAGCACAAGTAATGAACCCAGTCACGCGCTCCCTGCAGCCCCCCCCCCCAACAAGACAATCGAACCTAGCACAGCAATCATTCAGCCTCAGGTACCTCACACAAGCAAACCCACACCGCCACCACTAACACGCCACTAGACAGAGGGATGGGCGAGGGGAGGTGGTGGGAAACTCTCTCTCTCTCTCTCTCTCTCTCTCTCTCTCTCTCTCCTTCTCTTGTTCTCTCTCGCTCTCTCTCTCTCTCTCTCTCTCCTTCTCT